AACATAATGTCTTTCTGCATGAAATTTTTTCTTATACCGCAATATTGAAATTAGAAGATGTGGTTAAACAAGGAAGAAGGTGGTTAAATTTGATAGTTTATTTCCGACTAGCTTACTCTTAAAGATTTAAAGCAATGATAAAGCATCTTTTCAACTCTTTTCTGTTATGTTTCTTTTCGTTTTGATATGATATAGGTTTATAAAAAAAAAACAATTGTGCTATAAAGAGGTTAGATAAACTAAGCAATGAGCTTCAGTAGGTTCTTTTTTTAATATCACCCAATATCATTTCTCTTACAACTATTTCATATTATCATGTATTCGTTTTTAAGAAACCTAAATAATATTGAACTGACTAAAAATAAAAGAAATTAATTTGAAGTGAATTTGCCATTTCTTTACAGTTCTACTTAAATTATTTGTTTTAAAAAAATGTTATGTATCCTACAGCAATCGTTATTTTAGCGTTATAATGGCAAACAAAAAAAGATTTGAAAAATTGAAATTTGGCAAGGTAAAATTTCTTGCAACCAATACTTCCACACTTAATTGATAGTTTAGACTGAAAGCAAATAAAAACAATTTGTTATCCTAATTTAGTCGTTTGTATTTTTTAAATTGTTTTCTTAATTACGTTTTCATATGTAATTAGAAGATGTACACATTTAACATGGAATAGTTTTCATTATGATACAGCAATTTAAAGATATAAAATGTGTATGTTACTATGTTTATTTCAATACATAAACAAGAAGTAAAAATTTCAATTAACTGTTGCAAACATCGCTGTTTAGCTACGCAATCGGTCTTTTCCTTCAAAACTTGTTTCTTATCTTGATTTGACACTTTTGTATTCGATCTACGAGATTTATACATCGGTAAACTACTGTCTCCTTCATTTTTTTATGTTCGAAATTCATAATATTTTACTTACACCCCTGAAAAATTATTTCTTCTTATTTAACATGCATTCTTAGTTCGTGTTGTTTGGAAAGGTATGGATGTCTTAATTTGATTGTACACATTAAACATACGTATAATTTGATTGTGCACATTAAACATACGTATAATTTGATTGTACACATTTAACATACGTATAATTTGATTGTACACATTAAACATACGTATAATTTGATTGTACACATTAAACATACGTATAATTTGATTGTACACATTAAACATACGTAATCTTTGTGCAGCACTTGGTATATTAAACTTGTCCCCTTGACACATAGCAAATTACATGAAATTACGTTGTGAAGAGAGTTTTTGAATAAGTTTTCAAAAATGAATGGATTCAAAGTAATGGTATATTTTATAACGTTTTGCTGCAGTTTTTTGGAATTAAATGTGACTTTTCTTGAAAAAAAGATGGCAAACTTCTAACGTTTTTGAAGATGTTTTTGATTCCTGATTTTCTGTTAAAGTGACATTGGGATAAATATAGACAAAACGTTTTCTCCTGTGATCTTCGAAAAAGCATAATTTATCAGGTCTAATGATGTCAAGTAGTTTTCATGGACACAAAAGAAAGATACCGAGATCAACCATCCAGTTACTACATCTGAATATACATATCTTAACATACTAATATGTACATACTTGTATGTATAGGAGAGCACTGAATATGTGAAATTAATAGTACACATTGATTGGCTATTGCCATAAAGAAAATCAAAATATCTCGAGAAAATTTCGTTTTGAATGATGAAGCTAACGGTTCAGTAGAATATGATACTCCTTTCATAATGTTTTTGAAGCAAAAAGAAGAGGTTCGAAATACATCTTGGACATATATTGAGTTGATTGTGTATGAAAATGTACAGCTATCGTGCAGTTTGTCTATGTCTGAAAAAAAGACTGAATTCCTTGTTCATATAAAATTTTAAGCAGTTTTATCAAGTTCTTCTTGTTTTTTTTTCCAAATACGCCTTCAAACTCACGTGAAACAAATTATATTCAGAAATAGAATAATGTTGCAATGACGAAAACAATTCTGCAAACATACTATAACATATTGTATGACATTGTCTAGTCTTGCAGAACTTCAATCTGAATCATCAGAAATAAGCAACATCAATGTATTTAAGTATTATCTTTTAAATCCTCAACATTTTTAAGAAAGCATAACAAAGCAAACGAGCCACGAATGCAAGAAATGAAAAGGACTTTTACTGCTACAGAAAATGAAAATCGCCATTCCCAATCATCATTTATTGGACATTTTGAACCAATTGGAACGATCAAAGCACATTTTATTGTTATTTAAGAAATAACTTCAGGTGAAAGCCATGAATAACGTAGGGTATCGATCAATTATCATACTTGAGATATCCATTTGTCACATGTAAGGCAGAATATAAATCATATCATCCATGGTTTGTGTATTTCTTTTAAATTATGATTTTAATCTAGCCATATGTTTTAAAGAAGTTTTAGAGTTCATTTGACAGCAGCTACTCCTTTCAACCTTGCTTGGCATTTTTCTATGATATTCTGGTAAACATTTGTAATTGTCATCTAGATGCTGACATGTTAAACAAGACTGTGTATCTGCAATGTCCATCAATAACATTGCCGACTGACCTTAGACAGCATCTTGTTCTGGTTCATACAAGTCACAATTAACATACATCGGATCAATATCATTACCTCTTATATTAAGTCTTTCACTTGTTCTGCCACTGCTGAAGATCACCAATGATACAATCAATAGCGTTAAATGGTAATCTGATATCCTTTGTTTATTTCGCAGACCCAATCTTCTGAAACAAATATTCATAAAAATGCAATGATTCTGTTTTATCAATATTCTTGTTGTCTTCCTCTAAAATATTAAAATTTTGTCTTCTTTACTTACAGGAACTTTCTTCACAATTGAAATTGATTTCATTCGTCATAAGATGGTTTTGCATCAGGAATAGCTCTCTCTCTCTCTCTCTCTCTCTCTCTCTCTCCTATCAACTAAAAAAACACTAACACGCCTTACTGTTTTGATCCTGATGCCATGGTTCACTTAACATAAAAAAGTGGAAGTCTCTAAGACGTTACGAAATGTTTTGGTACAGTCACTTTCCGTAAAAAATTGGTGTTTTAAACCTTATAGTGTGAAAGTTAGAAATCCGTACACTTTAAAAACAAAAGTTTGGGTAAAGGTAGTTTACCATCAGTTGGTGGTGACATCAACTTAAATTTAGTGCAATTTTTTTGCTATGACTTGACCTTTTTCAATTGGATGTATTATTTCTGATTTGACCCCGATTTTGTCGTCCTTCCTTAATCACATTCCCAGACTATTTTACCATGATTTGTGGTCACCTCAACTTGACACGTTAAAAAGTCTGTCACTATCAATAAACTTAAGACATGGCACTGATATTCTGATACATTTAACTGTAATATGTGAGTTTTGAATTTCTTTCAAGTTTTTCATTTTGTGCATTCCCGATGAGTGTAAATCCAGAAAAGACTTCAGTCGCACCGAATTTATGAAGTGTTTTTTTTTAATTTAAAGCACTCTGTTGATACCTTTGTTCGTATACTGCTGGTACCCGAGAATATCACCATTATTCAGTGCTTCGTAACTGATATTACTGATGACATAACTTATATGAATTCTCGGTTGATAAAAGTTAAGAAGTTATTGAGAAATTGTCGTTCTAATTCCCTCAGGCAAAATTGAACTTTGGTGGTTTGGCTGATCTTTTTTATCCCTATTTGACAAGTAGTTTCTCCATTATATAAATATTTAACATCCTTGGTTTCAAATGTAAGAGTTTGACGGCTCTTGTTGAAAGTCAATTCTGGAAAATATAAAGACTTTAAAGACATTATTTGAATGTTTGAAAAACTACTAACAACTATATGAAATTAAAAGGTTGGTGACTATGTTGAACGCATCTATCCAATCGAAATCTATATAAAGAATAATTTTACTTCAAAAACATTTATTTGAGATTTGAGCCTTTGTCCTATACAAAAGATATTTTTTACAACATATCTTTAAACAAAGATATTAAATATATTTTTGGACTAGCATTTTAATATATTTTTTCTAAAAAAAAATATAATATCTGCCTACAATATTGATTCCTTTGTAGATATCTTAATGCTTCCTGTTTTATTCGAGACAAAATTTGAACTTTCATACAAATTATTCATGTTCTTTGTAAACCTTTTCGTTGAATTAAATAAGAAGCGTATAGAGCAGTGAACCCACTTATCATTTTAATTGAACATAAAAATGTTGTCCGTCATTGATAGAGTAAACAATAGTAAAACAGATTTCTACATGCAGCTGTCTTTAAAATAACGAATTAAGGGTGGTTATTCTATTCAGAAGACCAGCTAAAGACTATTTAAGTATATAATTATAATTCTTTCATTGCACCATTTTTTAGTTCAAATTTTTAAGGAATTCAAATAATTTGAGTTGAAAGTATTAAATTCTTCCTGTTATAATTCTAACTGTTTCTATTTAATGAAAAGAAGATATACCGGAAGCAGTTATTCTGTTGACCGATTTTCTTAGTTTGATTGACTAAGTTAATCAGCAGTCATCTCTCCTATTTTGTCAATAACTCTTTCAGACTTTGTCATTGGTAAATTATCCAATCAAATAATTGGTTTGTATTTTAAATCTATTTATATCATTTATCATAGGCTAGTCACGTCGTCATCCCTGTCACAGACGATCGTCACAAGGCCACTGTGTAATCAAATCTATGTTAATTTGCCCACGCTTCAATAAGTCCCTTCATCTCTCAACAATGTCAAATAAAATCATCGGAAAATATAATTGAAATTCATTTTTTGACCTAATATTGGTTGTGAGATTATTGAAAAGACAAAAGATATTACTTTAAAGTATAAAAATAAGACATAAAGACACTTCAATTAAATAAAAACCACTGAAATTATTATACATAAACTTTTAGAACAAATATTTTAGAATTCTACAGGAGTGTCGTAAACATTAAAACCTTGGTTATGTTTTTTTTTTTAACAAACCTTGACAGATTTCTCTGGAAATTTTTCAACCTTGGTCTTGTCATATATAAATTCTATCGTTCTTTGTTGACCGCTATTAGAAAGAAAACTAGTTTTATGTAGAGACGTACGTAATATAAGAAATTACACTGAAAATTATTTGTGAATTTATTATTACATATAAAGGGATTTTTTTAAAATAACAAGTTAAATCGTTTATTGATCTGACTGGAACATTTTATTTAATGATTTGTTTTCCTCATTTTGTCAAAAAGGAAGGATATATTACAAGTTTTCGTTGATCGTTCGTTTAATAGAAGAAGATTTCATTAAATTATACTGAGTTCGTAAAAAGTTGATTGAATAATCATACAGAAAACTTTCGAAGAGTGAACAAATAGTGTGAAATATTGAAAGTGTGAAACAATCTCTGGTTTCAATTTGAGGTTCTGAGTATATGTGTACAGAAGAATATTGAAGCAAATACCTTTTAAAGAAACTCTGTCACAACGCATATGCAAGTTGGATTAGATTTGTCTATATAGATTGCGTTCCTAAGAAATGCTAATGAACAATAAAACTGGGCAAGCTTTTCCCCTGTATTATCCAGGACCACGGGTGTATCAACATCGGCCATGTTACCAGGGACCAGATTGCACGTGTCCGCCATCAAGGGCACATGATACATTTCTTCATCAGATATTGACGGGAAAGGGATATAAAAATGACTGTTTGTTTGTTAATCGACCAATCAAACAGGAAGTTTATCATGATTATAGCTGTTGCTATGGTAATGGGTACCCTCCACCGTATCCATATTCCCATCAATAAAAGGTAAGTTTAATATATGAAAAAAGAAATGTCTTCAATATTAATTTTAAAAAATGAACACATATTTCAAGACAAGAAATAAACAACCTTTAATTGTAGGTTTTGTATTGCTTCTTGAAAATTACTCACTGCTTGAAATTTATCTGAAATTGTAGAAGGACGTCATTGTTCCTCTAAACTTAGAATTTATTCTAAAAACAAATCCTGCTATTATTCATTTTTTTTTAATTGAAAAGAAGTGCGAGATGAAATCAAGGGCGCAATCAAAAATTAAATAATTCGGGGAAAAACAGGTAATACCATGGACAAAAAGAAAATTGCAAATAGACTACAAGTCAACTTGATTTAAAGATTAAGACAAATAACCCGTACCAAAGAACTGTCAGGTTTAGCAGGTCATGGGTTCGATTGCAAGGATAAAATCAAAGACTTAAAATCGGTATATGCTGCTTATCGTGTAAGCATTGGTCATTGAAGGGTAACAAAAAGTAAAAAGAAGAAATACTTTTTTTTTTGGTTTAAATGGCCTTTAACTTTAAAATACTTTAAATTTGCTTTTAATTAGTAAATATATGATGCATTTTGTATAAAATACACCACAGAATACATCTCAGTACAAATTATTTGGACTCCATGTCCAATTAATACATAGTGTAATCTCAGAACAATTATTTGGACTTCATGTCCAATTAATACACAGTGTGATCTCAGTACAATTATTTGGACTCCATGTCCAATTAATACACTGTGTAATCTCAATATAATTATTTGGATTCCATGTCCAATTAATACACAGCGTGATCTCAATACAAAGATTTGGACTCTATGTCCAATTAATACCCAGTGTGATCTCAATACAATTCTTTGGACCCAATGTCCAATTAACACACAGTGTGATCTCAATACAAATATTTTTGGACTCCATGTCCAATTAATATACACAGTGTGATCGCAATACAATTATTTGGCGACTCCATGATCATTGATACGTTCGCAGTTACAGCTTCACCACAGAAACCATCAAGATACAAAGTTTTAAAGACTTAATTCTAAAGGATAGGGGGACTAAGGAATCATGAATGCGTCAGTGATTATAGTTTTAATTTAAGATAGTTTTTATTGAGGTAGGTTATTCCCATTTTGCACATGTATCATGGTTTAAACAACAAATAGTATGGTTACACCTGGGTTTATTGATGTAACTTTTTGATGGTTACACTTTGTAATTGTCTCGTTGAAATTTGAATGAATACAGAGAAACAATTTGACAGCTGAAATTAAAAAAAACGGGATTCAGTTAAAAATCACTCTTCACAATAAATAATGGTGATTGTGGTTGGTATGGTGTTTTTTTTTATGAATATCTTTTCTGCGTGCTATAATATATTACTGTCTGAAAAATGAAATCAGCTTCAATCGCAGCAATTGCCTGTTTTCAAAATGAATATTGCTCCAATTCGGATAATATGTATGACCAAAAGATAATAAAATTGATTGTTTTACACATATACTCCAAATCAAATGCGTCGGATATCTTTTAAAAGAAAGAACTGGTTTTTACATAGGAACAATGTAAATATAAAGGAAAGTATGCAATGGGAGGTAACTCATGTTTTGACGTGAAAAATATGTCATTTGTTTTCAATGCATTGATTGGTTGTTTCTTTTGATTTCTCATAATTTCATACATTTACAGGAAATATAGTAAATTTCCCAAAATATAACACAAAGAAATCTCTAAAAATCTGGAAACGCTTTGGTCCAGATAGGATCTTACAATGAATGAAATCTACAAATAAACACATTTTCACGTATAGTCGAAGCAAATTTCAAACAGTTTAGATTCGAAAATGTAGATCCTGTGTCTCAAGACTAATCTTTATTCACATAATGATTTATGATTTTCCATATGAATCTTATCTTTATTTTCAAACATTCAAGCAAAAAGTAGGAGGAATTCTAAAGTTCATAAATGAATATTATACAAAAATCTTTTTTCTACAAATTACACACACTACCGTGGTCACCATTTTTTTTTATTGATAAATGAACACGGGGGAACTTTTCGGGTAAAGCTTTTCTCATATCTAACTATTAATAAGTCTTTTTTGACGGTTTTTGTCAGTTAGATGAAAGAAGTTTAAAGCAATATTGATTATATCTAAGACAAAACTAAAAAATATAAATATTAATATCTGACAGCCTAATATCTTAAGAACACCTGAAGGATTTTATTTGGTAAATTTACAGTATTTTTTCTTTCTTGAATTCAAGGGGCCAAAAAAAAGTGACCATAGCATACCTCCTCCTTTAAACTTTCTTTTTACCCGAGGTTTGTTTCTACCGTGTACATATTCCAAAACAGTTATTTTTGCTTATGTGTACAGTGGGTGGATGGAAAGGGTAATATTGTATGTCAATGGACAGAAACAAAACATGCTGTAACAACTGAATTTGAATTTGAATAGGGGTTACTATAGTTAAGTATGATAATATAACATAATCTTAAGATAATTACTTCATATAATCCAATTGAGATCTATACATCTTCAAACAAAATATGTTGCAATCAGAAATATGCAATATATGTATAGTGTCGGAAAATATAACATTTATTTGTACGAGCTTTAGAAACAGGAAGAAAAGCGAGGCTCGCCGAGCTTTTCTCTTTTCGTAGCGAGTATAAATAAATTGTATATTTCCGACAATGTATATACTGTTTTTTTATCAAGCAATTTACATCCTGCACTTTAAGGTTTAATTGTTTAAATCTAAATAGGTGTCACTTGATTCCCCCTTTATTGGTTCATTGCTCACACAGTTGCTTTTGTATGAAGACCGACTTTTGAGTGAAAATTCATCTGATTTACTTAAAGAGTATTATTCTCTTTCAAAGTCACTTCATGAACAAGGTATAATATACTCATGGTACTCGCATGTAAATCATATTAGGTCCGACAATGAAATAACCAAACCCAAAGATGAATCTAAAAACAAATACAGAGACTGTAAGAATCTTAGTAAAAAGTACTATAAGAATGTTAATGAACTTCAGCAAAGATATAAAGAAATGTATGACAATAAGATATCATCTCTTGATCAAAAAACTTTTTTTGTTTAAGCATATAAAAACTGAATATGAACAAGAATTTTATTTGATATAATCTAATCTTGATACAAGAAAACTTATATGCAAATTTTTAGGCTCCTTTATTAAACAGTCTATGGATCTGAGGACAGGGGGCAATTGAGGTCATTTGTTGTGTTGTGTGTTTAATATTTTGTTATATTTTTATGTAAATGTTATCATGATATTGTTGTTTATAGATATAAGAAGATGTGATATGAGTGCCAATGAGACAACTCTCCATCCAGGTCAAAATTTAAAAAAGTAAACCATTATAGGTCAAAGTACGGTCATACATATAACTGTTATCAAGCCTTTGGTCCTCTTTTAGGTGTAATGTGTGCCTAATAAAGTTATTAATGTCTTATTTTTTCAAAGAAATCGACATAGATTAAACGTGGACCGCGAAGAGGGCCCCAAAATGAACAGTACACAAAAAGAAAATAATCACATAACCGTTAGCTCAATATAGAAGCGGAGACAAGTACAAATAAAGAAAATAATGTATTTGTGTACCTGTAATTTGTACATTATTTGGCTGATTGCAGGATAAATTAAATAACGTTGCTAATTTTGTAGTGTGTCTTACTTTAAATGGTAAACAAATCTGAAAATAAATTTCAGTGTTTTTGCTGATGTAATAAATAATTTTCCTTAAGGTTAAATATGAATTTGTATTTCTAATAATAAGACAAACAAACAAGTAATGGGGTGAATAAATTGACCACGACTGCAACTGGTGAGGAGTTCCATTTATAATAATATACAGTCAAATGTAAATATCTTACGTCTTCATCTTGGCCAAGTGTTTGTCGTTTGTATTTCAATGAATGGTTCTGTTAGTTACAATTGAATGGCTGTTCTGATCATAAAATGATAATAATTAAAATAAAATAATTGAATAGGATGGATTTTAAAATAAATGCTTACTTATGCCCAATGGACAGGTTTTTTAATGATTGACAACAAACTCCGGCAAAAGTTCGTAAATAAAGAAAACATGAGATACAAAATGTATTGCAACATATGAAGTTTGGAGGTCTTACTTAAGCCGTAATTTTTTTTCAAGATTTTTAGAACTAAATAATGTTGTACCATATGCAGTTTGCATTTATTATGTTTAATCAATTTTTCCCTTGTACAGCAGGAACCTTACCACTTCTACAAATTTGAAATTTGTCTTTACAATATTATTTACATTGGAATAGAACCATCTTTGACAAAATTACTTCAAGTTTTGTGTTTTTATGTACTTCCTTATTTATTTCCTTATCTGAAATTGGGGGGTTCCCAGCCTTTTTGCATATTTGATGTTTGTCAACACGAAATATCACAGTTTGTATTGAATTGATAAAAGGAATCAACACATGACAGAATTGCCACTCCAATTTTGAAATTTTGTGCAAAAAAAATGGTACTCTCAATAACTCAGACAGGGGAAACCAGACACATACATTTTTGTGTCAAAAAAAGTCTTAATTTTTTTCAATTCAAATTCATCCCGTTGTGAGGGTATTATTTTCATGCGTGACTGTAGAAATTCGGTAAATTCCACCTCAAACTACCTAGACAGGGGGTAGCCAGGTTCTGCGTGCAGTGCACGCAGAATCTGTCGACAAGGGGTCTTGGGTAAAGCCTTGGTAGGGGGCATGGGGCGAAGCCCCCCGGAAGATCAGAGAATTAAGTAAACACCAAGAAGAATTTTATTGTTGGAAATTTATCTGTTCTGTCTAATTTTCTTTAGAATTACATATGTGTAATGACAGGGTCTAGTTATACCTCGATAAACGGACAAGAGTGTTCAACTGATTCATTGGCGACAATTTATTTATAAACCAGTATAATGCTGATCTACTAATTTGCCTATTGAATATGCAAGAGAACTCGACGGAGACAATCGACCTTCAAAGAGTGATGCAAACAATATTGTTATATGTAGGCTGTAACATAATAATATGAAATAGATAATATCATTGGCTTAGTCAGATAGGCCCGATACTGGTTTTGGCCGCTATGACGAGACCAAAGCAGTCAGCTGATCACGAACAAGTCAATACATAAAAGGTGCACCAATAAAACCAATAGTAATGCATTTTTAAGATTGATTCGTATATGCGGAATAGGGAGTCTGAAGAACAAATTATACCGACTCAAAACAATCCAATTATTCAATTTCCTTGACATACCGATAAATGGGAATTAAAGGAAATGGTTACACGCAAGCCAGACAGCATTCTATCGACATAGATGGAAAAAAAAGGTCAAACGATATTTACAAACGCCCTTCAACAATGGACAAGTGTCTAAATAATATATATCTAAACCGGACAGAGCAACAAAGTTGTGAATAAAATTTGCAGAGACTATAAAAGATCTGTCATTTACACCAAATTTCGAAAATGACAAAATTGTAAAGATAGAGTGACTTCCCGGGGGAGTGACTTCATCTTGGTTAAAGCACATAATAATGAAGCGATGTGAAACGAATATTTGAAACCTGTATCTTCCAATTTTTTTAATGTGAATTAACGAAATTGTGGTTTATATATAAGACAGCAACCAAACGACACAAAAAAAATAACAAAAGACGTCTAGGGGTCAACATCTGTTTTATAACTTGTAAACTGTGATTTTCAAATAACAACAATTTACTGGTTTCATTTATGCAAGCAACATTTTTCTTTGTTTGGTATTATCAAATATGTCAACAACTTCTTTCAAATCAATTTCAAAATCAGCATGAATGTGCAATAGTGTTAGAGAAGATAGCCGTTCTTGTCCCATTGTATATCTAAGAGGGGTTTTAACCCGTTTCAGTTGCAGTTGTTTGTGGCATCGTAAGAAGAATATTACAGTATATTAGAATATAATTCTTTGTTTGTCGTTTGTCGTTTTTCGTTTCCAATGTTTCACATAGTTGATCTGGTATCTCGCTGAGGGATAAATATTCCAACGAGCAACATTTCTTTGGATCTCGAGATGCTCATTGGCGTGATATATATACGCAACTGATCTTAGCGTTTTAACTCTTTATCATTCTGTGGAATTAGAAGGTCTAGAAACCTTTCCTCTGAATTAACCGGCCAATCGATCTCTAAATTCGTTTAGAAGATGGTAAAATAACTGATACAACTGATGGTTGAATATGGAAAAGTCGGGATATTCTTATAAGTTCCGGTGAATAAATTGTATTTATCGATACTCCCTCCCTCTCACACTCTTTCTCAATCATTCTTTAAAAAAATCAATAAATTTTTATTTTGGCTTGTTTGTTAGTGCACGCAAGTGCGTCGTTTCGTCTATAGTAGCTACGCCACTGCTAGAATATATTCTATACATCTGTGGAGGATTTCCCGGACTGATTGGAATTTTTCATGCAAAAAAATTGAAAGGTGTATTCAAATTTGAGTTATCTCCCATACATCATCATTAACAACAAAAAATGACAATTTTCTAAATTTTTTTGGAATGTAATACATTTATCACGCTATAACTTTAGATTTTTTTTTAATTAGCATTTTAATCTGTGACAGAATGTTTTTACTGGAAAACATTTTATTTCCTCTAATAAATGGAAAAAAACAAAGATTGAGAAAAAAATATAATTTTGTTAGAATTTTTAAATCAATATCTTAAAACTTACAGTCTGTTTACAGTAATAGTACATGTGTATTATATATTATTAATTATTGTTGATTGATAGTTACCAAATGTCAAATATTTCCTCCATAATCAAGGAAATAGGTGTATGAAAATTATATGTTCATATTTATCTTTCCAGGAATCCTTTCCAAGACCAGCTACAGAACAGATAGAAAATTGCAAGCTTTGGAGACTAACATTTGAATTACGAAAAATAGTACTATTTGGGAGGGTTCTTTTACTTATTTTATCGTCAATTTCTTCTAAAAAAAAGTTACTGACTATTAATAGGTTTGCTATGGTAATTGTCATTTCACACCAGACTTCATTCACTGACTTTATCTTCAAATGCAATTTACTGACTTTATCTTCAAATGCAATTCACTGACTTAATCTTCAAATTAAATTCACTGACTTTATCTTTAAATGCAATTCACTGACTTAATCTTCAAATTAAATTCACTGACTTTATCTTCAAATTAAATTTACTGATTTTATCTTCAAATTAAATTCACTGACTTTATCTTCAAATGCAATTCACTGACTTTATCTTCAAATGCAATTCATTGACTTTATCTTCAAATGCAATTCACTGACTTAATCTTCAAATTAAATTCACTGACTTTATCTTCGAATTAAATTTACTGACTTTATCTTCAAATTAAATTCACTGACTTTATTTTCAAATGCAATTCACTGACTTTATATTCAAATGCAAGTCACTGACTTAATCTTCAAATTCAATTCACTGACTTAATTTTTGAATGCAATTCACTGACTTTATCTTCAAATGCAATTCACTGACTTAATCTTCAAATTAAATTCACTGACTTAATCTTCAAATTAAATTCACTGACTTTATCTTCAAATTGAATTCACTGACTTTATCTTCAAATGCAATTCACTGACTTTATCTTCAAATGCAATTCACTAACTTTATCTTTAAATGCAAATTCAAATTCAATTTTTGAATATGTTAAGTGTCATAGTAAGTGTTCATTTTCGAAAAAAAACTATTCACAAAACCAATGTCAAATGAAAGAATATGTGGAAATATGTAGAAAACACGAAATATTGAAATTTGAAATTTGAGAGAAACAAATATGGGTCGAGTGTTGAAATCTTGTTGGTTTACACACACTTCAATAAAACAAAGCAAGCAGATTTATAATAACTTTATTAATATTATTAATTTAGTCTAGTAAAGAACACATGCTCATTGTAGTTTAAGTATAGTATCTCTTATATTTTGCGTTTTGAATAAATATTTTTTTTTGGTGTGGTATGATTACCAATGAGACAACTATCCAACAAGGTTCAAATGAAGTGGATGTAAGTAATTATAGGCAACCGTACGGCCTTCAACAATGAGAATAACCCATACCGTATATCATATGTTTGTAGGGAGAAATATCATTATAGTACATTTTTATCTTGGTGACTTGGAAATCATATTACTGTACACAGTATAAATATCTAAATTATGTCATTAAATATATTTATTAGATATGATATATGCTTGTTTTATCATTGATTCCACACTTATAATGTAACAGAAAATGCAAAATAAGTTGCTTTTGTATCCTTCTATGAAAAGGTACATGTTTTTCTCATCTGATTTTTATTTCACTAAAAAATTGTACAATGTTTGGCAAAGTATGACCAGATAACATAATGCACGCATTCTTCAATTTCCTCCAAACAGATGTGCAACATTGATTGACATGAATTCTATATCCAGAATAATGTTTAATAATTTGCATAAAGGTCAGATGAAAAATATTCCTGCAAAATTTTGGGGATAAAGATTCCACTTTGGGCAATCACAATCCCGAAGTCACAAGCTTAACAGCTATATTTTACTATATTTTTAGGCCTCATCTTTACGGTACCTAACATGCTGCAATGGGATCTTATACATGCCCATGTCAAGCATTATTTGTAATTCGTACTCTGATATTCAAGTTATAAAATGATGTATAATTGTATAACCATAATTGTCCAAGAAAACTGTTTTATAAAAAATTACACAAGTTGCACGTTCTACCTTAATTTATGACCAAAGGAAGACAACTCCAATTCAGAATATTACCTAAATTGTTCCATTGCGTAATACAATGAAGTTCACATTTCAAATTGGTAGCAATCTTAACCTCCTCAGCACTCACAATCGCTTTGATTAGTTCAAATTGGTCAATTCTAAAATCAAACATGACTGAAAAAGCAAAAAAAAAAAAATATATATAAGAAAAACTCCTGTAAATGACCAATTGCTACAGATTTTAAGAGACTGAATTTGATATTGACATTCTAGACACTATGCTTAGAAACAGTCCAAATGTTACTAAGCACAATTCAGTTCACAATACAAATAGAAAGCGCTTTGATTAATTCTAATTAGTCAATTCTCAAATAAAATAAAACTAAAAAGGCAAACAGGTCTAAATAAAATACTGTAAAGGGTAAATGGCTATACAGAATAAAAAAAGACTGAATTTGAGTTTGACCTTCTTGGCCCTATGTTTAGAAATAAGCCAAATGTATTAATATTCTGCAAGTTGACTTTACATGCTATAGTCTTGGTTTTTTGCAAGTTGGATAAGTTTAAGAAACTTGCATTTTTGCAGTTAGTAAGATCTAATCGATCTAATCAAACTGATCAACTGGTAAAAATGTTATTCCACTGCTACAGATTAAGAACCAGCAAAACAGCTGAGTTGGTAATACATTATAGCAAAAATATATTATACTTCAAATTTATATGAGCGAATTCGTTGTATATTACCAGTTGTAATCAGATGAGGTGTGTAGTACTGGTTTTCGATTGAAAATGAATCACGCTTAACACTGAAAACTATAGTTTTTGTCTTAAAAGTTTTACATAAGTTGTTTTTCCAGTAGCATTTAACAATAGATAGAAGATATTAAGTAAGAGATATACATGTACAAGAAATTGCACAAAAAATACTATCTTAATCTACAAGGGGAGACTACTTCAGTCTTATGACAAGTGGAAGTTGGGTTACCTTCCGTTAAAGCATTTTTTTTCTCAAAGATATATATAAGCAGATTGTTCTTAACTCTAATGTGAATGGAGCTTAAGTGTTTTAGTGGCCCAGTAAAGTATTGTGAAATACAATGCAGAAAAAAATCAACAAATTATAATGGAAGTGTTACTGAAAATTCTTAATCTCACCTTTTATCAAGAAGAGGCGAAAGATACCAAAGGGACAATCAGACTCAAAAGTCGAAAATAAACTGACAACGCCATGGCAAAAAATAAAAAAGACAAAAAGACAAATAACAATATACAAAACACAACACGGAGAACTACAAACTAAGCAACACGAACCCCACTAAAATACGGGGGTGATCTAAGATGCTGCGGAAGGATAATGATCAAACCTCATACATGCACTGCTAAAACTTCTGAATTGACAAAAACTTCAAATACAGCAAATGGACAGAATAAAATATTTCGTTTCTACCGATTAGATATGCGGTTCATTGGCACAAATTCCTGTAAACATTAAAAAAGACTTGTGACACTTTCCATGACAACGAAATCTAGAATATGGACAGTAAAGAGATGTATATAAACTCATCATAGATGCCAGGATGTAGTTATATGTCAACGAGACAAAACCAACAAAACGACAAGCAATAGACTCGACGTATCAATACAATATGTCAAACCCTGAGTCTAAAGAAAGTTGCTAAAACTGCGAAAGTTTTAACAATATTGATTCCTTCAATATGAATTCTGACAATATTAATACGGTATTATTTACAATTGGTTTACTGGTTCTCTATTAAGTGTTAAGTATTGTTTATGAAATGATGTTTTGTATTTTTTTTTTACTTTGTTTTTCGATCAACATATAGTTTGGAAATCTGCTAAAAACTAGTTCAAACCCGTAAATGTTAAAGTGCCTGTCTCAAGTCAGTAAATTTTTCTGTAGTTGTCTTTACTTAAGGTCAATCCAAATGGATTCATAAGATTGAGAATGGAAATGGGGAATGTGTCAAAGAGACAACAACCCGACCAAAGAGCAGTAAACAGCCCAAGGTCACCAATGGGACTTCAACACAGCGAGAAAATCCTGCACATGGAGGCGGGCTTCAGCTGGCCCCTAAACAAAATTGTGTACTAGTTCAGTGAAAATGGACGTAACACTAAACTCCAAAACATACAAATGAAATAAAATTAAAAAAGACTAACAAAGGACAGAGGCTCCTGACTTGGGACAGGCGCAAAAATGCGGCGGTGTTAAACATGTTTTGTGAGATCTCAAGTCTCCCCCTAAACATCTAGCCAATGTAGAATAAACAAACACACAACAATATGCACAGTAAAACTCAGTTTAAAAGAAGTCCGAGTCCGATGTCAGAATAGGTAACAGAAGAAACTAAGCAAAATGACAACGATACATAAATTATAATTCTTCAATTCGCTCTCCAAAATAGTTTGTAAACCAATAAAAAAGGATTCCCGGAGAGTTTCTGAATTATTGCTCTATTTAAAAATGAAATCAACAATTTCATTTTTAAATGTCATCGCTCGTCTCTTAATTCACAGAAAACTACATTTTTTAGGGGGTTTAAATGAATATTTCTTGCTCCCGAAAACAAAAGTTTTGTAGAATAAAATTTAGAATATGTCCAGCTCTGACCAAACTTTTAAGTATTGCTTGCTGAAAGATAAATTTCAGAATAAAATAAGATATAAAAATTCGCTAGCTCGTTACGATTTTTATACATAAAAGTTCAAAGACAAATATTCAGTTTATAGTGGCCTAAATAAGTTTTAATCTTTTTTTTCACCTTAAGGAAATTTCGTGTTCTTCTCTTAATTGTAAGTTTTTATATCCGTTGTTTTAAATGCGCATGCGCCTATTTAAACGCTTGTTTATTGTTAACGACCATAATTTTATGTTGACCTTTTAATGTCTTTTTATTCTTGTGTCGTTGGATTGCTAGCTCATTGACATATACCACAAATCCCTAAATCGTTATGAATGCTTCAGTACTTTTTCTTTCTTAAATGGAAATAATCCTTGATATAATAAAACAATCACCTCACTATAGTTGTGTTGTGTTGCTGGTTTACTGTCTATGACGTATTACACATCATGTCTCTTATTATTCATATTCTATTTAAAAAAAAGCTTTGCTCTTATTATTATATTTAAATGTTCTTATTTTTATATTTGCTATTGCATTTTTATCTGTACTCATCTTTAATTTTCCGTGGTGCAAAATGTAATAAATAAACATTAGCAACAACGAATTCCTAAACCTAGATATTATTTTTTTTTATAAATTTAATATAATAAAGTACATGATCCATACAGTAATTCAAAACATATTAAATGTATTCTTTGGTAATATCAGATATACTTACATTAATAATCCAACATGTTAAACAGGGAAAACTAATATAGGAACTTTTATTACATCCTCGGTTCCCAATGGATAATAAGTGTAGCTCATAATGCTTCAAAAACTATGATAATAATTTCAATATTTTTTTATTTTTTTGTGTATTTTACGATTTTATAACGCTCCCGTATTCTTACGTATCTTTCAGTGCTGTGTAATATTATAATTCTATGATGCTCATTTTTACTCAGACTTTTTGTTTCCGAGGACTAATATCTTAATAGATGGTTCTGATGTGAACTTATATGTGACTTGAGAAGTTTGAAAGTTGGTAAAAATGTCAATTTTTCTACATTTGAGTTATTGAAGATGTTAAATTCGACTTAACTGTTCTAGATTCGAAATATTTGAGAAAGTCAATTCGTTAATTTAATGTGAATAAAAGGAGATGTTGGGGTATACGTCCGTGAAACAGCAACATAAGAACTAAAACAACTAAATAGATATAAGAAGATGTGGCATGAGTGCCAATGAGACAACTCTCCATCCAAGTCAAAATTTATAAAAGTAAAAAACATGCTTATACGATCTTAAAACATGCTTATACGATCTTAAAAAATAAAAATGTCTATAAAAATAAATTCAATATACCAAGCACTCAAAACATATGAATAAATAAGACATGTAGCATTTACCGAGTACATTACATACGATGTGAAATTATGCCATCCTAGAACCTAATATCCCAGGTTAGATTTTAAAAAATGACCTCATATAAACAGTGTAGGAATACGTCATCGTGTCACGGGAGGGGGGTCTCTTCCTATATGAAGGTATATACATATGTGCCGCTGGAATGGGTCCTTTTTTTGATACGTCAAATATATCAATGGGGTGCAATTTTACCGAGGAAATATATCAGTAGGTAGTAAGTAATTGACCAATTGTGATATATCAATGGGTCATAATTTTTCAGTTTGTCAAGTTGTGCAACGATCTTCACTGAATTTCCCAAACTCTTTGTCATTAAAATTTCTACATCTGCTGAAACTTATTTACTTGGTATTGTTTGAAAAGTTCAATATTTCATATAAATTAAAGTATATTATATAATTGAAAAGTGTTTTTAA